CATTTCTCGTCGCCCTGGGCCAGCCCCTCCTGCCTGGAAGTTTTGGGTTTAGGGTTTAGGGTTTAGGGTTTAGGGACATTACTTTCCGAAAATTAGGGGTACCTTATTTTGGGGTCCTTATAATAAGGATCCGGTGATGTTATATCGGGGTTTCCGAAAATTAGGGGACCCTAATATAGTACCCTAAATAGTAGGATCCTTATTTTCAGGACCCAAAGATAAGGTACCCCCAATTTTCGGAAACTCCCATTTGGTTTCAGGAAGAGTTGTTCTAGGTTCCCCAGTGGTACCCTTTTGCCCTTTTTCTTTTTGGGCTCCCTTATTACAAACCAAAGAGTAGGAAAAAGGGTACCCTTATTATTAAGGGGCTACTGGGGAACCTCGTGTTAAGGATTCCTGTAAGAGTTCCCGTGAGCGTTCTTTGTAATGAAGGGCTTTGCTGGGGTTTGAATGAGGAGGGGTTGATGCAGTTTCATTGGGTTGCATTGGGGGTTGGATGAGGGTTTCATCATGCTTCGGAGAGGGCGCGTTGGTTCAGCTGCGAGGTCACTGCTGTTGGTGACTTAACCGGTGTTGAACCCTAAACCCTAAACCCAGGCTAATCGTCGCCTTTGCGTGTGCCCAGTGGTTCTTTACCATCGACGAGAGGCGTGGCAAGGACCGGCTTCGACTCTTCCTTACTCGTCCTCTACCGTGGAGTTGCGATTCCGGCACGTTGCAGGAGCCGGTAATCCGAGGAGCCGTTTGGAAGTCTTTCCGTTCTGGCCCAAACGCCTTGCAGTATCTTCGAGGTTTGGGAGCAGAATGTGTCCAGAATGCACTGCGGGTCCGCCCGAGGCTATCACTTAGGCACACTTGCCTTCGGCCAGGATCTCAGCGCTTGCATCTAGGCAGCCTGGGGTGCAAGTGCGACGACTTAGGAGCCTTTATCCTGGCCTTGGTGCAGTTCATCAGGCCTTCCGCTCATAGCCAAGCGCCTCTCCTACAGTGGCATTCTTGCAGGTATCTCTGCAAGTACTTCGAGAAGCAGGTCCGTAGGGCGCAGGAAAACAGTCGGGGTCGGGCGTTTTGATGTTGTCAAAGAGACTGATCCGGAGTTTTTGAAAGGCGGCGGCTCAAAAGAATCGAGTCATGGCCCATGCCTCAGGGAATGCCATGTCGGCACGCTTTACATCTCAATCTCGCGGCTGTGCGATGTGGAACCGAATACCAACCATTGATGAGATGCACCACTGAACCCCAAACCCTAAATGTCAGTGCAGCCCACTGGTCACTGCTCAACCCTACACCCCAAGCCTTAAATCCTCCCAGACCCTCAGCCTTCGAGCTGAAACCCTAGACCCGATTATCGCCTGCAGAGCTTGGAGACATCGTGCCTCTGCAGGTGATCGTCCTTAAAGTTCTTGGATGCATTATTTGGTGCGTTGAGCTGCTCTGCGGCACTGGCCCCACAGGGGTCCTAGAAGGTACTATAGGGGCTAGTATAGGGATTGCAACAAGGGCTACGACGAGGGTATATGGTTCAGAAGGCTAATGACAAGGGAATGTTTGAGAAGGGTTGCTAAAGGGGTTCCTTATTTGTGCTTCTTGTCCTCCTAGTCTTATTCGTTTGCACACAACCGAGGAAGTGCATCAAATTCCTCAACAAGAACGCGTACATCCAGGCACGCCTGCACGTGCAGTTCGGAGTTTGTGGTCGTTTCACAAGCACGCCGAGGCAGTGCTGAGGCAGATGAGCAGCAACACAAGGGCATCCAATCTAAGTACTTTGCGGTCAATAAATATTATATATTGTTTTATAGCAAATTCTAAGGTATTCGTTTCCGTTGCAAGCTGTTCATGCTGAAGTGTACTGCGGAGAGGGTGCACATGTTCATGTTCACAGATTCGCACATGAGGACGAAGCACTGCTGTCCACAGCCTCTGCCTGTGCTTTCGAGAAAGCTCCAGACTGCATGAATTGGCTCACATCACGGTCGTGCAGGTCGCCCTCATGGGCACCAACTTCTGTACGTCCGCCAAGACACTTGATGTGCAGAGTCAGTGCATCTAAAGTCAGGAGCAGGCGGCTGAAGAAATCTTGCGGACTTGCACATCTCTGCCACCAAGGAATGCTTTCCAACTGATCATTCGCAACATGTTCCGCTTCGGTGTCGTCGTGTCTCGGCGATTAAAAGCCGTGCATTTTCTCTTTCCACGGCTGTCTGTACATGGCCTCACTGGCCTCAGGAACTGGTATCCTATGTCAGATTTTGCCAAAGGGCCCTTAACTCTAAACCCCAAACCCAATCCCGCAACCCTAAACCCCGAACGCTTTTCCCCAAGCAACGAAGCTGAGCAAAATGCCAGGCCATTCTTGGCACGGTGATCCACTACATCGGCTGGACGGTCATCTTCGTGGGGACCACCGTTATCGGCTACTTTGTTTTCGATGCCGCTGGTTGCCAAATGGAGCTCAATGTTTTTCTGTTCTTTGCTGTTTGCGGTGCTTTGCATGATTTTTGAAGTTGGCGTGAGCAGTGTGGAGCTCGATGCGATGATGCGAACGACCTAGTTACAACAAGCAATCGGTAGCAGGACCTGATCGACGGGAGCAGGGGATAGAAGGGGAACGAGCATGAGCGACAAGGGCCCTAAACCCCATATTGCAGATCTGCGAAAACGATGCTGTGCCGGGGGATTTGCAGAAGGGAGCGCGAAGCAAGACTTCCTAAACCCTGCGACCCTGAACCCTGACAAGGGCCAAGGTCCTCCAGGGTAACGGGAGGTGGGGGTTGGACTGTGGGAACGATCAGCTATGAGTTGGCGAGTGATGAACTTCAGTTGTTCGGAAGACCCCTTTCTTTTTTGGGGGTTTCTATCCCAGGGTCCCTTGCTTCCTGAAGCTGTGAAACTCTCCTTTGGCTGCCAGGCATTCCATCCAAGCGAAGATCCGCTTCTGCCGCTCCTGACATATGCAGCCACCGGGTACATCGTTGCCTCCTGTCCTGAAAGCTTTATCGAACACGTGTCATCGTCGCCTGGACTCTTAAGCATTCGAGCTTCCGGGGCTATCGACTCCCGGGGAGTCATTCTCAGAGAGGCACACCTGTACATGAACGTCTTCGGTCTGGCGGTCGACACTTCGCTCCAGTGTTTCATTGCCGCAGAGGAGATGGGCTGCGCAGAGGAGCGCGCCCTGCTTAGGGATAGCAGGGGCTTCGACCGATAGGAGCGAGACGTAGGCATAGGCCTTGCGCGATTTGTGGGGCATGGCGAGGCCGTGATGGAGTTCACTTCTTTCTCGCATGTTCGTCGCTTTACCATGTGGGAGCCTTGAGGAGTATGTGCCTGGACCCCTGAAATCTCTGGTCGATTCGAACCCGGGAAAGAAGAAGTGGAAGATGTTCGGCTCCAGCAAGGCTCGGTGTCTCGAGCTAAGACCCTAAGCCCGAAAAAGGAACCCTAACCCCAAAGCTCTAAAAAGGAACCCCTAGCCTCTAAACCCTAAACAGGAACCCTAAACCCTAAAAAGGAACCTTAAACCCTAAACCTTAAACCCTAAACCCTAAGTCCTAAACCCTAAAAAGGAACCTTAAACCCTAAGTGGCGGTTTTTGTTCGGCTGCGGTTTCCCTGGCCCAGGTCGAGCCGGAGGCAGTCCCGGCCTGATGAAAGCTAAGCTTCGAAGCTTCAGGCAAACTCTTGTGATCAAACTTTAGGGCTTAGCGGTTTAGGATTTTGTGATAAAACTTTAGGGCTTAGGGGTTTAGGATTTAGGGGTTTAGGGGTTTAGGGGTTTAGGGGTTTAGGGGTAAACTTTAAACCGAATGCGCGAACAAAACAGGCTCAACCTCAAGTTGTTCAAGGTGGATCCCACCAGTCCGCGTAGGCAGGAATCACAAGTCTGCCATTCTGCACGACGCGCTGCACCCTTGGGGTGCAGATCCGGACCTCTGGCTTCAGCACTAGAGGCCCGCCTCAGTTTTAGGCACCGAGGCCACCACGAGGTTTGTTGCCACCTGGATCGTTCCGGCAACTGCCAACTGCAATCGTTTCACTGAGCAGCCGCAAATCGAAGTCCATAGATTTTGATGTATATTGTGCCACTACTCGGTTGCTAGGCTCTTGCTGCGGTTGCTCAGAGACCTGTTTTGAAATTTCAGGATGCTATTTTTGCATGCAGGCAGTTCTGTCCGAGATAAACAGAGTGTCTTAGCTAGGTCGTTCTGTTTTGTGTTGCCATCGTCTCACCTTTCGCGTTTCTGCACACAGCCCGTCCAAGACGCCTGTGAAGGCGACCTATCACTTCCCATGTGAAGGTTGACCCATGTGTGACGGAAAGCTCACAAAGAGCTCGGTCAAAGTAGCCCAGTCATCCCTGTGGCAGCGTATCGAGCATGACAGCATGTTGCATTAAACCTTAAATCCTTAAGCCTTAAACCGTTCAGAAGTCTCGTGGCATTCCCAAGCTTCTGTTGCCCCCTGGGAGCACCGAGCTGGTCAGAAGTGCCCCTCGGTGTGAAGGGGACGCGGATGTCCAGCCTTGGCAACGGCTAACCGAACTTAGGGAAGTTCAGTCTCGATTAGGGCTTATGTGTGGATGTCTGTGCCGTTTTAGACTGCTGAGGACTTCATTCATCAATGAGTAAAAGTGCGAGCAATGCTGCGAGTGTGAAATTCTCGTGGTGAAAAAGATCATGTTACTTTGGCAGGGTTCTCTCGTGGTTATATCACAAGGACTCTGAATTTCAACTGCAAGATCTGGAGCGGGGGAGATGTTGAGGAGTCCGTGCCCGTCGCCGAGCACCTGAAATCGAAAGGGCTCTTGCGGCAGGTGCACAACTGTGGTTCTTCCGTTCTTGTATGCCACCTCATGCGTGACATGTGCCTCGCAGACTACTTTCATGACGAACCAGTGTTGGATCCGCAGATGTCACAGGTTCAGTGCGAGAAGGCCGTAGAAGAGGTGCCATCAGCTGAAGATCTCTAGCATCTCAGGAGATCACTGCCCGTCCCTGCCGAGGTTTGGAAAGACGTCCGAGGACTTTTCGGTCCAAGTGTCGTCTTCGTTCTCGGTGGTCCTGGTGCCGGCAAAGGCTCCCGTCTGAAAAGCCCTTCTTCTCTATTCTCCTGTTGTATTATGCCATGCAATATTACAAAAAATATTGTTTCATGTTATATAAGGTTGTACAACATCATATAGTACTGGTTCATGTTGTATAATGTTATATTCTTAGGGGCTCTACGGCTGCTTCTTCTGGGCGCCCTGCGCTTCTGCTAGGCACGCTCTGCTCGCAGATTGTCCAGGCCGGCATGGGTGCTGAAAGGGAGTTTCTTGCCAAGTCGAAGGAGGGATATCGGAAGTAGGAATAGTATCCGCCTACAGCCCCATACACCCAGACTATGGGGGACTACTTCCAGCTTCCAGGCGTGTGGTTATCAGCATCTCAGCGCCGGTGATCTTCTGAGAGAGGCGTGGCTGCCGAGTGCCGGGGAAGGGAGGAAGGGAGCAGCGAGCTTCGACGTGCTCAGGAGCGTAAAAGACCCGGCTCCCAGACGGGTGAGCTCATCGAGAACCACATCAAGGCCTGATCGAGGTCAAGGATATGATGTAGATGCTGCCAGCTCGACATCCCCTCCCCATGTCTTTAACCGACCCTAAGCCCCAAACCTCTGTCCTGTTTATCTCAAACATCACGTCCTGGTACTTGCGGAAAGGTGCTGTGCCTTGTTGTGCCCCCAAGCCTGCCCAAACCCTCTCAATCCTGAGCCCAAGCAGGTCAGAAGATAAACTAGCCCTCGCCTGGAATTAGGGCTCCGAGGAGAAGAGAGAGGAAGCCTCGTGAGTTTTGGCCTTTTGCCCGAAGGCCACACCCTGAGATTAAGAGGGTCTCCTCCCTAAACCCTAAAACCTACACGCCCCTTTTTTCTTTTGGGGGGGAGTCCCGGTTCCATCCGTTTCCGTTGCAGGAAGGGAAGCTGGTGCCTGCCAGCATTACGGTGGAGCTCATCCTCAAGGCCCCGGATCCAAGAGCCAGATTCAGGGTTCCAGGGTTGCAGGGTTCCAGTATACGATGAGTTGCGGGTTTAGGGGTATGTATGTATGTATGTATGTATGTATGTATGTATGTATGTATGTATATGTATATATGTCGAGAGGGTCCTATCCATCCATCCATCCATCCATCCATCCATCCATCCATCCATCCATCCATCCATCCATCCATCCATCCATCCATCCATCCATCCATCCATCGATCTATCCTATCCATCTATCTACCTATCTACCTATCTACCCATCTATCTATCTATCTATCATCTATCCATCTAACTACCTATGTATATATATATATATATGTACATACTATACTGTTCAGGGTTTCAAGTTTCCGGGTTGAAGCTTGCGCAAAAAGCAGCCATAAGAGCCGTCCATCCTCTCGAGACCTTTGCTGGAGGTCCCGGTTTGCTGCTTTACGTTTGCAGGGTATGAGTTCCAGTTCTGTTCGCTCTGCGAGGAAAGGGCATACAGGGGGCAAGCCCAGCGCGGATGCAAGGGACATATCATGCATTTGTGGCCATGTTGTCAAAGCCGCATGCACGTGCAGCAGGCCATGCGAGAAAAAGGTTGGGGAGGCGGCAAGTACCTTATCGATGGCTTCCCCAGGACGCGCACATCTCTGCGCAGAGGTTCACAAACTGCACGTGATATTCGACCATCAGCACGCTTTATCAATAGACTTGAAGGCTTGAAGGGTGCTGGTGTTCCGCAGCAGCAGCCCTTGGCTGCCTTTTGCCTTGCATTGAATGTAGCTTTGAGAGTTTAGGGTTTAGGGAAACGGCTTCTTGTTGCTCTGCAGCTGGTTAGTACGAAGGAGCTTCGACAATTTGGCAGCTTGGGAGCAAATGGCGGGAGACCAGGTGCCTGTCCCATTCGCCAATTTCCCTAAGCTTAGACTCTGTTTTAGCTCTAAAGTCTAAACCCTAAACCTCAGCTTTGTGCTCTTGCTACAGGTGTTGGTGAAGTTTGTGCTCTACCTGGACGTGTGCGAGCAAGTCATGGAGGTGTGAGCCATCGGTACAAGCATGCAGTGGCATGCAGTGTACGCCAAGATGCAGTAGTACCTCTCACCAGACTCTTAGTCTTAAGCTTCTCTTAGTTTCTGAAGGCACGGCTTCTGGAGCGAGGAAAGACAAGTGGCCGTGCAGATGACAACATCGAGTCGCCGTCTCGGAGTCACAGAGAAGTCTCATCTTGGCATCGGGTTGTTGCTGTCGCTGTCGCTGCTCTTGTTCCCGAGGTCCATTCGGAAAAGGTTCCTGACCTTCCACCAGGACGTGCTATCTGTTTTCTATGTTCATGAGCCTTGAGTACTGAAAACAGGGCGGAGGCGAGGCTGTTTCAAGCGCGTCCAGGCCAGGGTGATGGGTTGGCTTTCTAGTAAGTGCTGAGGTTGACCCACAGAACAAGATGACCGCATGGGAAGCACAGCGAGCCGATGGGTTTGGGATTGGTTTGGCCGGCGCCCTTGCAGGAGTCGAGACCGGTGGTGGAAAAGTTCCAAGCAGATGGCCGTGTCGTCAGGAGCTGTGTTTTGTGCTAGCGCCGTGCAGTTGTCGGTATGACATACTATGACCATCCAGGATAGATGCCGAGCAACACCGAGATGACGTTTGGCGAAATGTCCAGGCCCAATGCTTGCTGGAGCCGGTCTGCATCAAGCCCGGCTGTCCTTCTACTTGTAGTCGGCTCTGGAAGAGTGCGTAGAGGGTGCCGCCTTTTCAACCATGCATCAGTGTGTAACGTAGCTCACATCTGCCGAAGGCCTGTCATTGAAATCCCCGAAGCCTCATTTGATGTTTGAATCAGCAGCCTAAACCCTAAAGCCTAAGCCCAGCATGATTCCGGAACCCTTATCAGGCGAACGAAAAGAGGTGATCAAAAAAAACCCAGCATGCTTCCGGGAGGCACTCTTCGGTCCAAGTGTCGTCTTCGTCTTGGGTGGACCTGGTTCCGGAAAGGGCACGCAGTGCACGAAGATAGCCGTGCGGAGCCTATGCAGTGTGCAGTATCCCTGGAAGTTGCGGTTAAGTCAAACTTGCCTTACAACCATGGCGTGACAAACTGGAGAGGGCATTGGGCTGTTGGGCTGCACCATGATGGTCTCTGCAGCTGCAGGAAAGCTTCGGCTATGTGCACCTCAGCGCAGGTGACCTACTTCGAGAGGTCGGTACTGTCGGTTCCGGAGAGCTCGAAGCCCTAAACCCTAACTAAACCCTAAACCCTAAACCCTAAACCCTAAACCCTAAACCCTAAACCCTAAACCCTAAACCCTAAACCCTAAACCCTAAACCCTAAACCCTAATGAGCTGAGCAGGAGAGGGCTCGTGAAGGCTCGGAGTACGGTGAGCTGATCAACTCCTACATCAAGGACTGGCCGCATCTGTGGTGCTGTGATTGTGCTTGGCGCTTGACTTTGGGTTTAGGGTTTAGGGTTTAGGGTTTAGGGTTTAGGGTTTGGGAAAATGGTACCATAAATAGTAGGATCCTTATTATAAGGACCCCAAAATAAGCTTGACTTTGGGGCTTGTTGCCTCCGTTACATGCAGGATGGAAAGCTCGTTCCAGTGGAGATTACGATCGAGCTGATCAAGCAGGCCGATGTCGCAACGATAAATGCAAGGAGAGCGAACTAGTGTTTCTTGACTCGTGATCACGAGATGGATGCATCATGTTGCATGAGGCTATGGTGAAGTTTGGCTGGGAGGGTGGAAGGTGCTCCTTTCCCCCCATACATCCACGTCGCAGTCTCGAGTGTTTGTGTGGGCTTTACAGTCTGATGACATGAGCTGCTTAAGTCGGCCTGTTTGCATCGTGGAGGTACTTGATTGACGGGTTTCCCAGAAGTTTCGACAACTTGAAAGGCGTGTCCGAAGCAACAGTGTGCCCAGAGTTTCTTACTCATAAATCATGCGGTACAACAGCTTCAGTCAGTGTATATGGCACAAACGATGAGTTGACCAATCTGTGCAGCTGCATGATATACTAGAGTTACTAGATACTCATTATTTCTTCTATTTCTTTTGTTTTTGCTGTTGTTAATGTTACTAATGTCATTCGTGTCATTGTTATTCTCATTGCTATTATTCAAATTATTATCTACTGAGACTTATATTCATTGTCATTATTATTGCTCTCATGGCTTGTTATTATTCTCAGTATCAAAATCGCCATCACCATTACCATGGCCTTCGCCACCACCATCACAATCGCCATCGCCATCGCCGTCGCCGTCGCCATCGCCATCGCCATCGCCATCGCCATCATCACCACCAGCAGCAGCAGCAG